ACTGCTTAGAATGTTAACAACCGGTTCTAGCAAATAGGTGTGAACTGGTAGAATCCCACCCCTGGGGCCAGGGCAGGCTGGCAGTCATCAGCTGCCTTCAGACTCAGACAAGCAGTGAGGCGGATGGAGTTTCTGGAACTGGTTCCCAGCCTGCGCATGCACAGGGCTACGAGAAGACAAGAACAATTGAGAAAGCAGGGTCGACTCAGGAGTAAGTCCACACCTTGGAGATGATTGGCCCCTCCCATTGGACATAAAAGAGGAGTGAAACGGGACATGAGCTTTTGCAGGAAGCAATTAATTCGTTTGCTCAGAACACAAGCTTTGAAAAAACCTTTTTGACTCTGTGTCCAGTTTGGCCTTACCCTACGTCTGGCAATTAGTTCTCTGGCCACATTCCAAGTGTGATAAGGTGGGTGTTTATCAACATTCCCCTGAAAGACTGTATGTGAAGCCTTGTGAATGAACGTAGTTCACAGCTGTGGAAATAAAAGAGGTTTTGCCGGGATTAATATTGTGTCCTATGCTTTCCAAGGAAGCCTAGGTCAGAACACTGGCTCGTTGAGTTATCCACCCAAGAACCTTTGGACATCCGATACCATATCTGGACTTTCATGTCAATTGAGTGGCCTTGAGTAAGCCTATTTCATGAACTTTTTCTGTACTGTACTGGAAGGGAAAGCAGAAGAAGCTTTGATCTTCTCTAATGGAAATGCCTACGGAGATGAAGTCTAGATTGAAGGAAACTGTACTGTAATGATCAGAGGTCCTATGTCTCTAACAAGAAGGAACCAGCAGGGAACTGAGATTTCCTTTAATTCATCTCTATGGTGAGGGAACGCCATTGATTTACACTTACAAAGAGTAGCACAACTCTATTTGGCCTTTGCCTTTTTGCTGCTTCCTCTTTTAAAGCAGAGTGACAAATGAGGTGTGTTAGAAATGGTTGCGTGTTTAAAACTCCATCTTCTGCTTTTACCTGGGAGAAAAACGAGCTACAGGCCTCGGTCCAGAAGAAGTTTCAGCTGTGGATCTGTAACCCATTGCTATTTTCCTGATGAAATTTCTCCAGCTTTTCTCTCCTCCAAAGGGATATAATAATTCATTCTACCTCTTCATGTCTCTTCTTCCCTGGTTTACAAGTCAGTCTCTAAATATAGTGTTCTTCAGGTGTTATTCTCTTGCCAATGGAAACCACAAGCTTTGCTTTGCCCAGGGTTTAATCAAATAATTGATTTACTAGCAAAAGGACATTGTCAATGTCCTCTTTCTTTCTCCATGGCTGTTCCTAAGTCCAAATTGCAGCCAGGCCAAGAAAACATACAGGAAGACCTTTAAAGTCCGAAGGGGAGGGATGGGGGACGAGCATTGATTGGAAACCTTTCCATCTCAGGCATTTATCCCTCTCTTTTTCAATGTCAGCTTGCTAAATGCCTGACAAGCTTGTGGCAGCTACTCAAACTTTTCCCCATCCTTAAATCTATTGCATTACCCTTGTGTCAGAAGCACCAAGGTAGTTCACCAAGGTTGAAAGGATTAGCCGGTGACATCACCGTTGTCCGAGGGACATCCAGTTGAGGTCTCCTTTCATGTGCCCTCTAGCTGGAACGAAGGACAGGAGCTCAACCCTGCCCCATGGCAGCATTCGGATCTCGAATGTAGGCTTGCTAACCTCCCCCGCCCCAGCATCCTAACTGGGTGAGCCACCGTGGTCCTTTGCAGATGGGAAAGCAAAGAATTTATCCAAGTCAAGACGAAGCTGTAGTGGTTGGAAATTCTAGGTGTCTCTTTTTAAATATCATTTTTATGTTATTATATAAAATACAAAATACAAAAAAAGAAAGAAAGAAAGAAAAGTAGGAAATTAAGGTCGGGAAAGGGGATGGGGAAAAGGGTGTGTAAAATACAAGGGGGAAAAAAGAAAGAAAGAAAGAAAGAAAGAAAGAAAGAAAGA